GGTATCTGAATTTTTATTTTTTAAACACAGATTTTATTTCGAGAGTGTCTGTTACGGATGTTAAATATCGGTTAATTGAATTGTCTATTAACTTTGTGAATTCTTATCGGTTACTTGACTATTCTATAGTCCCTGGGGGTGGGATGGCAGCCAGTATGCTCAGGCCCTACTTCTAAAGAGCCCCTACCACTTTGCACTGCTGCCTCTGAATCAGAGGCAGCAATGCGGGGTCCCAGGTGGAGCTGGTCCATGAGAGGAGCAGTTTAAAAACCAGCTCCCCTCATGGACCAGCTGCCTGTTGCCCAGCACTGCTGTTCAGAGTGGGGGCTGAGCTCCCAGATCCCGCGTGAGCAGAAACTGAGCGGGACTGCCTGCCCGCCTGGCTCCTAATACACTTTAAATGCAGAGCCACAGGAGGGGTAGGTCTCAGATCTGGTGCAAACCAGGACTGAGCTGGGCTGCTGGCCAGGCTGCTAAAAATGTACTGGTGGGGAAGGAGAGGAAATGCATGTACTCTATAGCATTAACCTATAAGCTTTTGCTTATTGGTTAATCACGTACACTATTACATCCCTAGACCCTGTAACGGTGCATCCATTTAAATCTTTTCCCCAATCCTTCATCACTGGGGATGGAAAAAGGCTATGGTGAATACCAGACTGAAAAGCTAACAACGGCACATGAATCAAAGTAACAGCATCCCCGTTATTTTAATTACTAAATGTGTTTTGTCTGTTTTGCAAACAAGCTTTGACAATGCCTGTCGCCATGCAATTTGGGCCAGGAAAACACCACAAACTTCTGCCAGCATAGCTATGTCAATCCGGGTGATCCGGATCAACCTAGCTATCCCAGCAAAGGCACCCAGCGCGGTGATACGTCAAAATCATGGATTTTCTGGAATAGTTTATTTTGCTTGGGGCGGGTCATGCACTGGAATAAGCTATACAACTGTAATGGTAAAGTACTCCTAGAGAAGGTCTGACCTTAATGGATGCTGCACTGTTTACGTTATTACAGTTATATTTACACTAGAAGACTTACCTGGCATTGCCAGTGGATGGGGCCAGGCAGGGGTTGCGTGGCCTGATGGGCAGCTGCTCCCCCCGAAGGCAGCCTAGGACAGCAGGGGCTAGGCTGTGGCCAGTGGCTGCCCACCATGGTCATTTGTGTGTGTAACTGTCATCTGTGCTTGCTGTCCCCCCATGTCATGTGTGAGTATAACTGTCCCCATTATCACATTACTACCTTTCTGTGTGATGTAAAAAAATTGCATACCACACACATCCCATTATCCTGGCCCAATCAAACCCTGACCTTGCTTTAAATTAAGGTAAGAGGAAGCTGCAAATTTGATGGTCCTAGCTCTCACCGTTTAGGAGGAATTGTTGAACAAATGGACTCTCAGATGGACAGACCAACACACAGAGACAGATGCACAAACTCTCTAAAATGTATAGTGGATTTTTAAAATAAACAATAAAGTTGGCTGACAAATGAAAGTTGAGCAAATGTCTTTGACTGCCTTTTAAAAAGTTATTTACCATTCTTGAGTTTGGAGACATGCACGAATATTTCAACAAAGGTTTCATGAATATTACTGCTATGTGATAACAGTATAAAATCCATGTTTTTATACTTAGTTAGTTAGTCTGCATCTAAGAATTTACACAAATGATTATAACAGTTGTTTCTAAACAATTACAAGCCAATCAGTCTAACAGACAAAAAAATCCTCTTCAGAGTTCCACAAGAGACATTTAATGGCTAATGACTGTGCCAGAAAAGGTGTCCAACTCTATCAAATCATTTTCAACTTTTTTCACATGCTATCAAAACATGTATCCATCCAATGCCTGTCTGCTCTAAAATGAGGCTAACTATGCATGCTAGAAGATTGATTGTGCAAATAAATTGGTATTTGGATATATCCTTTTGATATGTGCACTGTTTTTATCATCTGCCCTCTTGCCTTTGGAGGGAAAAAAATTACTCTATGGCCACCAAGAATAGTTCACACACATGCTTACAGTTCATTTGACGGATTCACTTGTTTTAAATTACTGTTGTTCCCAAATTAAGCAGTAAGATTCAACTGTGATATGTCCCAAATGAGATCTAAACATTTAAGTTCTGGCTGAAAATGTGCTTTTACCCCTTTCACCATCCATTTCCCCAGTCATAGTGCAAGCTGGACAATCTTATACTTAAATTTCAAACTTCCTGTTTTTGTTCTACCTATTCCTATTCCGTATCTTACACTAGAGGTGGGCCTACCTACAATCCTGGCAGGATTATTGTTTTTTGTTGGTTGCAAGACATAAAGAACTTGTTTTGAAAGGATGAGGGGAGGGCTACTTTTCAGGAAAGTCTGAACAATTTATTCATTTCATAATGCTGAGAAGTTTAGGATTTTCATTTATATGAGAGTCTGCCCCGAGCCTGGAATTTACGAACTCATGGATGAACACATCCTACTCCCACTCCTCTGTAAAACGGAAGATAAAATGCAAGGGGAGCCACATATGTAAAGCATCAACTATCCAGGCCAAAGCAAGAGGATATTAAGGGTGCCACCTTTGGGGATTATAGGCCTTGTGCTGGAGTTGCATGAATGTTTAGTTCTTTCATTCACATGTGTCTCGCACATTCTCTATTTGCTGGTCAGCCATTTTCTCATTTGTTTCTAAAAAGGAATCCATTTCACCTTATTTTTGTTTTAAGCATTTATTAGTCCTCTCGAGTAAAAAATCTGAAGCTTCCATGATGAGCAACAAAGGGTTTTTTGTCCAGGAAAAGATTATGCCCTAAAAGTGGAGCTAAAAGACCATGTTTTAACCACCATTGGGCCCATTTACAAGCTTTTCCTTTTTTTAAAAAAAATGAAAGTTTTCCCTCCTTTTAATTCATCTGAGCTTGGAGATCTTTTTAAAAAGTTCCCCAAGATATTCAGTTTCCATTTTAGGATAATTGTTCATATTTTTTTTTCTTTTTTACAAAGAAAAGTTAATAGATGCTGTAATATTTACCTACTAACCTAGGAGCTTTGGATAGAAACTGGCTGGTAGTGAGGCCACTTCCCAATTTAGGTTAGCTGCTGTGCAACAACCTGAAAAGCCTGCAAGCTCAAACTCTGTTAATACAAAGCCAGCTGAATGTAACGGATACCATTAAGAGATACGAACCAGCTTATCGGTTAAACAATTAGTCAAAAGAAAAAAAAAAATCAAGCAAAACTAGTGAAATTCCAACAACTTGCATGGGCAATTTTTAGGCTTCAGAAAGTTTCAAGAGCTCAAAATCCACTGTACTATTTACAGTACTAATCTCTCACTGTAACATAGCAGCAATCAGGCAAAGATAACCTTTTTCCTCATCTTTGCTGGGTTTAAACCAGAGGTGGGGAACATCAGCCCCAGGGGCCACATGCAGCCCCCAGCTTTCCTGGATCCAGCCACTGAGGCTCAGCATTGGGGAGCCCACACTGGCACTCCAGCCCCCCTGCTGCCCCACAAAATGTACTAGGCTGCCCCCCCTCCAGGCTCTAGTGTGAGAGGGGAATGTGGGGAGTGTCTTTCTCCTTCTCAGTTAGGGGCCACACCAGTGAGGATTTGTTTTTTGGGGTTTTTTTTTGCTTCTCACTTTATGTGCAGCGCCAAACCAAAAAAGGCTCTCCACCATTGGTTTTAACATAAAACTGCTGCCAACAGAGGAAAAACATTACAATCTGACTCTCTCAGGAATTTAAAGTAAGAATAAAATGGCATATTTCCTGTTAGGCTGATCTTATCTTTTATTTATCTAAGCTAGAAAAGAGTCACTCATATACTAGGCAATGATATTTTAAGAAAGATTAATCTAATCTTTAAAACGTTTCTTAAAGGCTGGCAACAGTTAGGTCATCACCAGCAGATATTTTAAGATTCCAAATACAGTAAAATTCCAATTGTCACCTAATAAACCATCTTGTTAGTTTTTAAAGTGCTACATAGCCCTGTTTTTTGTTTCAGCTACACCAGACTAACATACAACTGCAGGATCATGTTTTAGTGACTTCAATTGAACAAATAAGTAATGGTTTATAGGACTACAGGCAGTCCCCGAGTTACGCAGATCCGACTTATGTCGGATCCGCACTTACGAACGGGGCTCTCTCGCCCTGGAGCTCGCAGGCAGCGGGACCGCCCAGAGCGCAGCGGTCCCGCCACCTCGACCTCCGGGGCGAGAAAAGCTGCTCCGGGTGCCCCTGGTCTGCTGGGGACCGTCTCCAGCAGACCAGGGACACCTGGAGCAAAGCCGGGGAGGCGGAGGGGTCCCGCGCCTCTGAGGCTTTGCTCTGGCAAAGCCTCAGAGGCGCGGCACCCCGCCGCCGCTGCAGCTTTGCTCCCCGTGTCCCTGGTCTGCTGGGGGGTGGAGGGGGCACAGCTAGTGCGCCCCCCCCTCCCCTCCCCAGCAGACCAGGCTTTTGTTGTGGACCCTGGGGTAGAGCAGCTGGGGTGCTGCCAGGTTGGTCCTGCAGGAACCTACCTGGCAGCCCAGCTGTTCTGTCCCAGGCT